CAATATATTATATTATTGTATCTGTCCTATCTTTACATCCTTTGTACACAAATGTATATATCTCAAAGGCATCATCAAAATTTGGTGATTCATGGAATTAGACAAAACAACAGAGTAGGCTTTTTGAGGTATATTTTATAAATTCAAATAGACTTCAGGGCATGGTGGTACATGCCTGTAATTCAAACTCTTGTGGAGGCAGAGGCAGGTGAGTTTGAGATCAGCTTAGCTGGTCTACAAGGAGAGTCCAGGACAGCCAAGGCTACACAGAGAAATCCTGTCTTGAAAACCCAAAACTAAATAAACAAACAAATAAATAAATAGGCGAGACTCTTCTAATCTAGATAATGTATCCCTCAGTGACCCAGTATAACTAAGCCCCACAGACCCTGTCAAATGTATGTTCCTCTTGCCAGTTTCCACTTAGCCACTTTAGCTAACATTTGTTGCCACTAGTTTCTAATATGTATTCAAATCATGGCAACATGATATCTGAATCAAAAATGGAGCTTCCTTAATTGGCCTTCAAACTTCTCTAAATTTGAAACAGATGTTATCATCTTCTTATTTAAGTGGCAAAGGTCCATGTATTTATGTTATATTTTAAATAACATCAAAACACTTAGCACCTAATTATTTAAAGTTCTGTGCCTCTTTAGACTAAACCTTTTCTTAGTTTAATCAACCAAAAGGAAATATTTTGAGAGACTCGCAGTAAATGTCAGGGACAAATGTGAAAGTGTATGTCATTTCAGAGCTAATGCTGTTGGCAACAATAATTTCCACTAGCTGACTTAAGATCACAAGAAAAATTTTCCCCTTATTAAAGGTTATCCTGTTAAATGTCATCATTCTGATTAACCAACTGCCAGAGCTTCTGCAGTAAATAGGACTTCTGCTTTCAGCCATGTTGAAACCATGATGGAAAATATATCAAAACTGCTTAGATCTGGGAAGGCCTTCAACACAGATAGAAGCACAAATATTCACATGAATACCTTTGTTTGTAATTTCTTGAGGTCTTTTTGCATGACTCACCATCAAATTTTTTTAAAGAATTTTTTTTCCTAAAACAGTAGGGAGAGGTGTTTTAGGATAATGTTCTGAGGATCACGTCTGTGGTCTGATCTCTTCCTAAACTGAATAAGATCTCTGAGATGAACAGAAGCATATGGATAAGAATGAATGTGGTTAGCTGCTGTCACAATGCAGTGTCTGTTGTAGGAGGGTCCAAGAAAATTGTCCCCCAAACTTAGACTTCTAAAGCACGTCAAGCAATTAAAACAGAAAATTGGTTATTCTGTCAAAATCAACAAACACATTCATAAACTACCCTGAGCTATGTCCATAGCATTGTAATTTGGAGTTATCTCTAGAAAGAGGAGGCCAGAATTGCTAAATGCTATCCAAAGCCTGCTATATAGAAGTTTTCTCAAACTCCCTAGTGAAATGTCAATAAACTAACTTGCAGTTTGGTGTTCCTTTGTCCTTTCTTGCTAGTGCATTTCATTAATGCAGAACTCTCCAGCTTGGAATATTTGATATGAGTGAAATGACATGATATCAGTATGAAAAAGCAGAATAAATTATTTTGGGGTGGATGTACAATACTGTTTTTAAAGCCCTTCATCAGGTATTAACTTTGTGACAGCATGGTGATGCAGTAGCATATGCATATAGAATGGCTCTTTTAATAATTTTATTTTATGTAGCAGACAAGGTAACCATTTATTGTAAAAATTTCAACCATACATGTCATCACATATTCTCCTTATTTGCTTCCAGTGCCTTCCCTCTTCCCCCTTTTTGCTGATCCCCAGACAAGGAGGAAAAACTATTTAGTCAGAAAGAATAAGAATGAGTGTTCTGTCTCTCTTCTTTTGTTTTATGGTAAGTTCCCACTACATAGTCCAAGCTAGCTTCAAACTCATTATTTCCCTGCCTCAGACCCTGAAATACTGGGAGTACTGGTAGGGAATATTATGCCCTACTCATATTTAACATCTGTAAGACTCATTTTTCTCATCAATAAAATAGAAATTTTATTTCAGGGATGTTGAGGAAACAGAAACTGGTGAAGACCTGAACTACATAAAATATTGCTGCTGTGTGCATGGTAGCCGAGGATGTCCCTCAGGGAATCATTTGTTTTGGTGACTTTTCTAGTACCCAGGCAGAAAATGTATTCAGGGGTTGTGGTTGGCAGCTATGATGGTCATTGCCTGCTCCTTTTTTGCCAGATTTATTTTCTGGTAATAACATATGTAGGTTCAAACATTGTTACAATTCTTTCTTTGCCCAGTGTGCTAGCACACAACTATAATGCCAGCCCTTAGGAGGCAGAGTCAGACAGATCTCTGAGAGTTCTAAGCCAACCACAGCTAAATAGTGAGACTTCTTAAAGAATAAAACAGAAAGCAAAATTCTTTTCTTATTCCATTTGTTCTCCCCTCAAGTTGACTCAACTATAATCCCTAATCACTGTTAATTGTTGGTATACCTTATTAGTTATATTATTACTATTACAGCTTACAAAAATAATAATTGAAAGCACAATTTGATATAGTTTTGTTTACTAGCCAAATTTGGACTCACTGAGGATTACAAATAAAATAAGAATGAATTTTTTATATATTTGATATTGAAATTGTTAATTTTAATGTAAAGTTTCACAGTTTCTATTCCAAATTCCGATTCTAGTATGGAAGAAGTTCATTGATCTGTACAGCGTTTGGGTCTGGTTAATTTTGCTATGTAATATTTTTATTTGCAAAATTTTTGTAATAAAGTTTATGAAATTAAAAAAACAAACAAACAATGGACCCAGCCATACCACTCCTAGGCATATATCCAAAAGAGGCTCAAGTACACAAAAAGGACATTTGCTCAACCATGTTTGTAGCAGCTTTATTTGTAATAGCCAGAAGCTAGAAACAACCCAGATGCCCCTCAACTGAAGAATGGATGCAGAAACTGTGGTACGTCTATACAATGGACAATTACTCAGCAATGAAAAATAAGGAAATCATGAAATTTGCAGGTAAATGGTGGGACCTGGAAAGGATCATCCTGAGTGAGTTGACCCAGAAGCAAAAAGACACACACAGTATATACTCACTCAAATAAACATACAACATAGAATAAACCCACTAAAATCTGGGCATCTAAAGAAACTAAGCAAGAGAGAGGACCCTAACTAAAATGTTCAATCCCCATCCTGAAAGGCAAAGAGGATGGACATCAGAAGAAGAAGAAGAAAACAGGAAACAACCTAGGAAACTTCTACAAAGGGCTTCTGAAAGCCAGAAGAAGAAAACAGGAAACAACCTCGGAACCTACCACAGAGGGCATCTAAAAGCCTCTGCCATGCAGACTGTAAAAGCAGATGCTGAGCCTGATGGCCAACTGACAGGCAGAGTGAATGGAATTTTATGTAAGAAGTGGGGAATAGTAAGAGCTGGAGAGGACAGGGTCTCCACAAGGAGAGCAACAGAACAAGAAAATTTGAACACAGGGAACTTCGCAGAGACTCATACTCCAACCAAGGACTATTCATGGAGATAACCTAGAACCCCTGCACAGATGTAGCCCATGGCAGTTCAGTGTCCAAGTGGGTTACATAGTAATGAGAAGAGGGACTGCCTCTGACATAATCTGATTGGCCTGCTCTTCGATCACCTCCCCCTGAAGGGGGAGCAGCCTTACCAGGCCACGGTAGAGGACAATGCAGCCACTTTTGATGAGAACTGATAGACTAAGATCAGAAAGGAGAGGAGAACCTCCCCTATCAGTGGACTTGGGGAGTGGCATTTCTGCAGAAATGGGAGGGAGGGTGGGATCAGGAGGGCAGGAGGGAGGGGCTTATGGGGGGATACAAAATAAATAAAGTGTAATTAATAAAAAATTAAAAAAAACAATGAATTTTTTAAATGTATTTTTCTCTCATACATTACATCCCGATTGCATTTTCCCTTTGTCCACTCCTCCCATTTCCCACTCCACCCCCTTATCTCAGATCCACTCCTCTTCTGCCATTTCTCTTCAGCAGAGAACACCCCTCTACCCAGGGACAAATATTTCTTTTGAATTCTAATTTGTCTGAATTTTATACTCACTGGTGACACTATACTGGAAAAGAACACTGTGCACATCTTGTGCAGGAATTGCTTTTCTCATCACTGAATAGACTCAAATAATTTTCTCAAACATGAATGTGATTCAAGTCCATTTGTCCAGTGTCACTATTTCATAGCATACTTGTTATACACTGTGAGTTAGACTAAGAAATAAGAATTTATGGTATATGAGATATATGATATAGGGTATATAATATATAATATATGATGATATATGATAATATTATATTTGATGGTTAATATATGATATATGATAACATATGAGTATATAATATGATATAATATAATATGTGATGTGATGCAATGCGAAGTGATATGATATGATATGATATAATATAATATAATTTCTAACGATTGTTTAAGTATAGTTAGTGCCTCTGCACCAAGGAAGATGTTGAAAGATGCTGGAAGATGCACTAAGGAAGACACTGGGGCCCACAGATAATAGGAATACCTTCAAGATTGACACATGTTTAGGAATTAGAATACCAGACAATAACCACAGATACATGGGTGGAGAATTAAAAAGCTGTGGGGACACAGGAAGCAAATGACTTAGATGTACATGTAGATTTCGTCAGTTTAGAGCTATGGAACAGCTGAGTGTGCTGATGAAAACTGAGAAATAAAATTGGAAAGGTAAGGGGAAGCTAATAAAAGACAGTGGAGTTATACAAATCAGGATGTGGGGCATAGCGACCCAGTGAACTTTTGCAGATCTTTGAAGAAGGTACCTTGTAAACTCCTGAGTAGGTCCAGTGTGGCCCTAGTGAACTTGGTGGGATTTGTGTTCCTCATAAACATTTCCTGGTCTGTATCTTTTGTGGCTGTCTAAGTTGGAGTGTGTTTTGTCTTATCATTTAGGGGAAGCACCACTTCATCAGATCTCATTAACCAGGAGGCTGGACAAGGAACACCGAAAAGCAGCTACAGCAATGGTGGAATCCCAGGCACTCAGAGATCACCAGCCCCAAGTGCTAGAAGTGTGACCTCCATCAGCAGTAGAGTAAGAATACAAATGTGAAGAGACTCCCAGGCTCTGGGACTTGGCTTTACTATCACCCATGACTGGATTGGGGTTTTCTGTGTGTCAGAGCATGTTGTTCAATGTTGTTGAATGGAATATATCCTTAGCTTTGGCCCAGAAACCTAAAGTGGAAAAGAAATGGTAAACCACATTATAAAGGTGGAATCATATGATGGGACTTTAAAAAGCCATGTGATTTAAGCAAATATGAAGAGTTCATTGGAGGTTCTAACTTTCATCCTTCATGATACTTTTCAGAGGACATATTAATAAATTAGCTATACTAATTTTTTTCCTAAGCTTATTGATATTCTCCAGAAAAAAGTAGATCCTTAAAGTCATTTTATTATTCATTTTCTTTACTTATGTTAAAATGAGAGGTCAGGCAAATGGTGAAGATTTAAATTGCTATTACTTATGTGTGTGCATATACACACATATCCACATATACCTGAAAATTATCTTTTTTTAAATAGACCTGTTTATTTTAGAAAATTTAAAAACAGAAGGCTAAAATTGAAAAGCATAAAAGTATATTTTGCATAGTTTCACATGTAGATTAAAACCAGCAGAATTCAGAAGAGCTATTTAACTATTTTATCTATGTATAGAAATGCATACTAATTGCTATATTCACTGAATATTTTGCACTTGTTAATTAAAATGTATATCTGCAAGAAAATTATCTTTTTATCACATTTTTTCTTTTATAATTTTAATTTTTATATTTTTAAAATTAATTACAGTTTATTTGCTTTGTATCCCAGCTCATTCCCTCCCAATCTCATCTACCCTTCCTCACATCCTTCCAGGCCCCTCCCCCAGTCCACTGATAAGGGAGGTCCTCCTCTCCTTCCATCTGACCCCAGCCTATCAGATCTGACCAGGGCTGGCTGCATTGTCCTCCTCTGTTGCCTGGCAAGACTGCTCCCCTCTCAGGGGTAGGTGATCAAAGAGCCAGCCACTGAGCTCATGCCAGAGACATTCTTTGTACCCCTTAGGGTACCCACTTGGCTACTGAGCTGTCATGGGCTACATCTGTGCAGGGGTTCTAGGTTATATACACTAATGGTTCTTGGTTGGAGTATCAGTCTCAGAAAAGAACCCTGGGCCCATATTTTTGGTTTTGTTGCTCTCCTGTGGCACTCCTGTCCTCTCCAGGTCTTCCTATCTCCCCCTTCTTTCATAAATCTGCCAAAATAAATTTTTCATGCACTCTGCCCAAAGTTTGGTTATAAGTCTCAGCATCTGCTTTGATATACTGCTGGGTAGAGTCTTTCAGAGGCCCTCTGTGGTGGGCTTCTGTCCTGTTTCCTGTTTTCTCCTTCTTCCAATGTCCATCCCATTTTTCTTTCTGAGTGAACATTGTTCATCTTACCCAGGGTCCTCCTTCTTGCTTAGCTTATTTGGGTGTACAGATTTTGGTATGTTTATCATATAATACCCACTTATAAGTGTGTCTAATATCCACTTGTAAGTGTGTGTGTCTGTCTGCTTCTGGGATACCTCACTTAGGATGTAGCCAAACCTGGAAACAATCCAGATGTCCCTCAACAAAGGAATGGATACAGAAATTGTGGTACATTTACATAATGAAATACTACTCAGCAATTAAAAACAAGGCAATCATGAAATTTGCAGGCAAATGGTGGGATCTAGAAAAAGCTGTTGTTTTCAAATGGGAAAAATATTCTTGTTATAAGACAGAGAAGTAATTCATAAATAATATTGCTTTTTTGATGAAGGGCATATATACATATGTGTGTGTGCATGCATTAATGTGTGTGACCAAGGTCACCATTTCTATTATAAGTGAAAATCTTTTAGAACATGAATATCTATGTTTGTGCTATAATATAAACTGATAAATTTAGTCTTCAACAACTTCTAGACCTTCCTAACGCTGTGACCCTTTAATACAGTTCCTCACATTGTAATGACTCCAACCATAAAATTATTTTTGTTGCTACTCCATAACTGTAATTCTGCTACTGTTAAGAATTGCAACATAAATAACTGTGTTTTCCCATGGTCTTGGGTGACACTTGCGAAGGGATCATTTGACTCCCTTAAGAGGTTGTGACACACAGGTTGAGAACCACTGCTCTAGAGCATGTGTAACATCTTAATGACTGTACAACGTTAACTGACCTATTAAAGTTCAATATTAATGGTACTACCAGATCACGCATGGGAAAAGTTTCCATCATTATAATTGCCAGTCAGGAGCTTAGTCTTGCTTCATTAGAGGACTTCAGTGTGTTAAGAGTTTGTGATGAGCTCTTGAAAGAGGACTTAAAGTAATTCATTCATTGACCTCTGACTTACTCTGGATAAAGTTTTCTAGTCTATGATAACTGGAGGAATTAGAAACATATACTTTCTGCCATAGTTCTTACATGTTGGAAATGATGAAATACTGAAGACAGTCTACTGGAGCTGAATTGATTAGCATGTTAAGCAAGTAAGAGCCAGATCTATCTGTAGGGGCTTCATTAAAGTATTCCTGAACGTCCAAGATGTCCGGAAACCAGGAGGGAATTCACCCTGTAGTCACTATTTAACTGTTTATAAAGGAAAGATTTCTAAAATTTCCCCTATGTTTAACAGTTATCATAGCATGGTGACATTTTCATGAGCGTTTAACCTTAGTCTAGTCTAGTCCTCAAGAGGTCCACATATTTGTTTGTTTGTTTGTTTGTTTTTTAGTATTAAATAAAGTTTATCTAGACAGAGGCCCTTAAACATGACAGAGAAAATATACCTATGCAATCTCAACAATATGGCTACTGTGAGGGAGAATCAGTTTCCTCTAAGGCTGGGTTCTTGCATATCTTTTTCAATCCCAAGTGGTCAACAGTGGACACATGTACATGTGAGAAATACTAAATAGACTCAGTAAGTTACACACACACACACAGAGATAAAGAGATACTACTATTATTTTATATATGTAATATGACTATGTAACATTAATGATAGATTAACAATAATAATTAAAGAAGAGATTATTAGTTTGAGATTGAAGCAAAAAAGTTGTGGGTAGAATAATGTAAATGGCAGTACTTGTGTTTGAAGTTCTCAAAAATTTTTTTACAAAAGCAAGCTTAGACTGACCCTATAGAAATCAGCAGAGTTGGGGTAGAGCTTTATTATGTTTTGTTTTGTCACATCATACAGTGAAAGCCTATCTGAGACTGAATTCTGCCATATGTGCAAGCGTTTATTTGTAGGTAGGCATCCCGTAAATCACCTATGGCTATAAGGTGAAGAAGTACTTGTTGTGTCTTGGAGGTGGTGATTGTTCCAACTGGAGTGGTGAGGGAGTGAGAGGACAAACAAAAACATACAGAAAAGTTGGGATCAGGTGTACTGGGCTCTATGATGGAGAAGCTGCAGCCCTTATGACAATTTCAGTCTGTTTATTATATAACAGTTGAATGGTTGAATGGAGAGGTGTGTGTGTGTGTGTTGTTTTGTTTTTTGTTTGTTTGTTTTGTTTTTTGTTTTTGTGTAACGCTGAACAAGCTTATTACATGCAGTTGAACAAGGATGCAGTTTAGCTAATCTCGTTAGGATCACCCTCTATAGGGGAGCAGTCTTTTGGCCATAAATATCCGAGGGAAAATAAAGCTACAGTGGCATTTTCTGTACATTCTATCAACATTTTAAGATAGACCAGACAAAGCCTTTGGTGTTCCTCTGAGTCTCAACCAAGGAAGGCTATGCTATTCCTGTGGGAATGAGACATTGGTCCTTGACATAAACATTGTCATGTAAAGCAATATACATTTACCTAGGGCTTCGCCTGCTCCCTACAAGTATCCATTCTTATAAACATTGATAGGCATTATGCATGACATTTTTATTTCAACATACATGTAACTATTAAATGTTAAATGTTAAACTATTAAAGGTTAAATGTCATTAGAGAAAGTAAGATGTATGAGATTCATCTTTCTAGGGTATAGCTCACAGGTTCTTAAACTGTGGTTGTGAACCCCATGGGGGCCAAATAATCCTTTCACAGGGGTCATCTATGACCATCAGAAAACACAGAAATTTACCTTATAGTTCCCAGCAGTAGCAAAATTACAGTTATAAAGTAGCAACAAAAATAATATTATGGCTGGGGGTCACCACAACACGAGGAACTGTACTAAGGGGTCACAGCATTAATAAGGTTGAAAACAACTGTTCTAGATAAACACAAAACTAATAAAAAAGAGTCTATATGCTTGGTTTTCCATTATTGTAACAGTGCCTGAGATACAACAACTTAAAAAAAAAGTTTGTTTTAGCTTACAGTTTTGGGGGTTGCAGGTTAGGGAAGAAAAGAAAGGAAGAAAAAGAAGCAAAAAAAAGGGGGGGAAAGGAAAAAATGCCTTTTGTGGCATATAATAAAGCAAGATATGGCAGGCAATGCACTGTTGAGCAAGCTGCTCTCTTCATGGTTGCCAGTTACCTGCAACATTCCACTTGGCACACCTCTAAAACGGTTCTGTTATCCTTCAATTCCACCAATCTCAAGATCAAAGAATCTTTGGACGTTTGGGGAAACAGTCCTTGTAAAAACCACAACAGAGGACAAACACAAGACCAAATAGTTCTAAGGCTTCCTGCTACTCCATGTAGGACTGGATATTTCTGTATAATCTTTCTTGCTAACCTTTTATCACTAGTCTTATGAATGAAAAAAAAATGACTTAAATATGTTTCATACTAAATTGAAACTTTCTTGGATTTAATGTTATATATTAACTTTTGAAGTGTATATGGGCTTTTGATAAGTGTCCTTTGAATGTTATTTGATTCTCCCTCCAAATAATATACATAAGTATGTTTATACTAAGTTATACTTTTATGAAATGGTTTTAAGAGAAATCAGTCAGTATAATGTTCCTTTCTTCATTTTTTTTTCTTTGTGGGAAGGAACATGGTTTTGAAAATACCATGGCTTTGGCTGCCATTGAAAGCACCTCTGAGGAGCTCACAAAGGGTCATCGCAGAAAGACATCTGGTACACCTTCCATAGCAGTGTCTGGTACCACTCTTTCATCAGGTAGGGTATTACAACATGAGTAATGTACTGAATGCACCGTTCCAAAAAAAAAAAAAAGACTAAATTAAATTGAATTTACTGTTTACATGGTAGTGAGTGTATGTTTTATACTTGAGAAAGTATACCATCCATTAGAGTAATAGTCTAATGCATAAGTATTTTCTAAAAGTAGTCTCAGGTGATGTATTGGGCTCACTGCATTTATGAGAAATCTACTCATATTGAGTGTATAGCTTTGCTCTAAGTCATTGTTAAAATTCAAATCTATAACAAATTATCAGTATAGAATATAGAAAATACAAATAATTCTAGGGTGCATTTGATATGACAGGTAATAACTTTCACCTATGGATCAAGGAAATTATGGTACAGACTATAGAATGGTTAGACATTCCATATACCCAGATAAAGTGTTTAATCCTTTAAGTTGGAATTACTTGTAAGTAGTTTGGTCTAGTGTGTTTTCTATTGCTGTGATAAACACCATGACCAAAAGCAATTTGTAGAAGAAAAGGTTTCTTTCCTTCTATGGTTTATAGTCATGAAGGGAAAGCTGGAACTAAAGTGCAGATCATGGATGAATGTAGCTTACTGGTTTGCTCTTCATGGATTTCTCCATCTGCTTTCATATTCTCTGCAGGACCACCTGATTAAGGGTGATACTGTCCACAGTGATCTGCTTTTTTCCACATTAATTTCAATCAAGAAAATGCCCCACAGGCTTTCCTACAGGGCAAGCTGATGGAAACATTTTCTCAGTTGAGGTTCCTTCATCCCAGTAACAACAGTTAAAAAAAGAGGCTATGAATCTGAAAGTGAGGAGGTGGGTGGGGGTGTACATTGGAACATTTGGAGGAAGGAGAGGATAGGAGGAAACGATGTAACTATGAGAATATATATTTAAATATATATATGAATATATAGATATATAACTATGAGAATATATATTTATATATAATATATATATATAATATATATATAAAGGTAAGTGAATACACTATCTCCTCAATAAAAGAATTCCATGATGATTTAAAGAAAATATCCAGCACACATACTAAAGACATTAGTAAGAAATCTTTTAATTTCTATGGATATTATTTATATTGCAGTTTATTTCCTATGAGTATGAAAAATGTACAGAGAAATACATCAATATTGTAATGTTTATGCACCATATATCAAACTACATTTCAACATTAAACCAATATGTAGCAGATATTAAAGATAATTAAGGATAATATCTGCATGGCTTGTAACTTGAATTTCAAGGAATATTCTCTTAGGCAGCAGGTTTCCAAATGGTTTCTGTATGCATGTTTTTGTGTTTGTGGGTGTAGCCACGTTCGTGTTGGCACTGGAAACCAGAGCCCTCTAAAATGTATATTCTCAAAAATAGAAAAGTAGGCCAGTAAGATGGTGTGGTGGGTAAAGGCTCTTGCTACCTCATCTGACCTCCTATTTTTAGTTCCTTGGGGCCCACATTTTTAGTTCCTTGATGAAAGGAGAAAACTAACTCCCAAAAGCTGACTCTTGTGTCATGGTACACATAAGGTGCATGCCCACTAAATAAATAAATGTAGTTTTAAAATAAAATGATGGTAAAGGAGTTCACCTGTTCAATGAAACAGAAACTAACACCATAAGGTCACCTTCTACTGCATGTCTTCCACAAGTCCTGATTACTCAGCACTTACTCCATCAGGCCCCATGCTAAGCCCTTCCTCATTGCTGCATTTTGCCATTTCAAACCAAAGTATTGGATTGCTCTGTCCAGTCTCTCTTCTCTATAAGCAACTATATTTGTCTCAGTGGAAGTTTAGAAGAGAACTATTCTGTGGAAGTAAACTGCTCTGACTTGGTAAATTGTCTACAGCATTGTCAGTGCATCATTTGTTATTTGCTATTCAAAAAAAAATACTGATATAAAGTTGTTCTTTATATGTTGACAAAAGATGTTGACAAAAGAATGTTCTAGTAACTAGTGAAATCAAACTCAGTTTTTCTATAGTCACTCCCTTTTGCATGAAAGGAAGTTTTAAAAATGGAAATTTATGATTGTTTGGCTTCATTTTATGTCAAATGTGAAAGCACAGTGAATTCTCTTCAAGAATGAGAAGTTATTTTTCTCATGAGGCTTCAAGACCCAATCTATGACCATTTCTAATATTTAGAAAAGGGTAAATCAGAATATTTAAACAGCTTAAAACTACTCTTGGATTTTATAACAGAGTATTTAACCCCTGTGATCAAAGGCCAAATGAAAACACATACCAAGGTACTTTTCAAATACTATAAAAAATGTAAATATGTTAATATAAAACAGTATGAAGTTTGTGAGTCTGGTTGCTTTATCCATGACACTTTATTCTCATTCTCTGTCTTTGTCTCTGTTTCTCTGCCTCTGTCACTGTGTGTGTGTGTGTGTGTGTGTGTGTGTGTGTGTGTGTGTGTATGCAGGTAAAACTAAAAATATTGAACTATTTGCAATGGAAATGCAGAACCATGACAAACTGATTCACATCTGCATTTAATATTTACCCCTCCAGACCGGAGTCGATCTGAGTTAGATTTGAGTGAGTCATTTGCGGAAGACTTAGAGGATACTTCAAGCATAAGAAGCAGATCTGTCCCTGGAGCATTAGACAAAGACTTGGTAAGTTGGATGTGGAAGAAAGTTCAATAGCACATGAAAAGGAGGGCATGATCTTGCTTCAAGAGCTTGCATTTTTAGGTGATAAGCTGAGAGTAAAATGACGAGAGTGAGCCTTTCTGGTTTTTTCACAATCAAATATAAAAGAAACTAAAATGTTATAATTAAAAAGTAAAAACAATACTACAAGTAAAATTAATTAATGAACATATACATATAACTTAAAATAATATAAAGTGACTTAGCAATTAATTGAAATGCTACACCAAAAAAGTTCATTTTGTTCTAGACATGAATGGAATAATTAATATATATAAAATGAAGTAACATTATAGTCCAAAAGTATATTAAAAACATAAAAACTGAGTTAAAAAGCCAAAAACTTCTGGTAAAATTTTAAGCATGTCCATAAAATTCTACTTTAAAACTGATGAAAGTCATTTAAACATGATTTCAGATATTAAATATTAAAAAATCACAGTCTATGACATTTTAATGTGATGTCATTAATCCATTTACATTGAAACTTAGTAATGGATTCTCACTGCCATTATTATTAGTTAATAATGTCTGAAGGTTTGAAAATGCATAAGATAAAATAGAAAGTTTTATAAATATTAAATATTGCAAAAAGTGTGAAATAAAACTTGTGTACTCAGAAAACCCTGGATAATTTAGTAATGAAATCTACTAGAACTGACAATAGAATCTACTTACTGGATTGTTCCCCAATGGCTTTCTCAGCCTCTTCTCTTCTATACACCAGACCGAGGGTGGCACTGCCCATAGTGAATTGGGCCCTTCAACATTAATATCAATCAAGGAAATGCTCCATAGGCCAATCTAATAGGGACATTTTATCACTTGAGGTTCCCTCTTCCCAGATGATCCTAGCATGTGTCAAGTTGGCAGAGAACTAACCAGTAAAATGGGCATTAAAGAGGAAAATGACATACTGAAAATGAAATTGAGGGTGAAGATTACAGCTTGCCTATCTAGGTTGTGATTTTGATAATTATCCACTCATGACTGGCTGAGACTCAACTATACTTAAAATACTAGGATACACCTATTTGCATATCAAGTTAGGTTGCGGTATATTATGTATTGAAAAACCTTAGACCAAACTTAAATTATGTATGGAACGTCTTCAGGTCAAAGGTAAAATTTCCCATTGAAAAATCTAGGGTGTGGATGGCTTTACTAATAAATTCCATTAAGTATTTGAGGTTATTGCTGCTGTAGACAGAGTGTCACTCTGCAACCTAGACTGGCCTGGTACTGTGTAGCCCATGCTAGCCTTAAACTTACATGTAGTACTCTGAGCTTAGCCTCCCAGGTAGTAATGTTACAGATGTGAGCCACCGTGCTTGGTCCATTATGTATTTGAAGAATAAATCATAGAATTTATAAACTCATTCAGAAAGTTATGAGGAAGTACTTGCACATTCATTATGTGACATCCATTACTTCACTGGTTAACAAAGCTGGAAAGGCAGTACAGCAACAGAGAACAATATCTTAGTACTCAAAATGGTGCTAATATCTTTAATAAAATATCTTTAAGCCCCATCCCGTAACAACAACAAAATGAATCACATACTATAGATAAGTAGTATTTACTCCATAGAAGCAAGTTTGGTCCAACCATTTAAAAATAAGTGAATGTAGGGGCTGGAGAGATAGCTTAAAGGTTAAGAGTACTTGCTGCTTTTAGAGAGGACCTGATTTTTTTTTCCCAACACCTACACATGTTGACTCACAAGCACTTAAAACTCTAGTTCCAGGGGATCTGACACCTTCTTCTGGGCACATACAAATACAAATACAAGTAAAATATGAAGCTTTTAAAAATAAATGAAGATAGTAGTAAAAAGGTACTTGTCATAATATCTCAGTAGAAGGAGATAAATTATTTGACAAAATCCCACATCTACATTTATTAAAATCTCAACAAACTAGAAAGAAGGAGAAAAGCTGGGATTGGGCTGTAAAGAGATTAAATTAATAAATAAATGAAAAAAAGAGGAAAGAAAGAAAGAGAGAGGAAAAAAGAAGGAAGGAAAGAAAGACAGAAAGAAATAAGAATTTCCTCAGCCTAATGAAGGCCATCTATAGATAGTACAATTAACATGGTGCTTACTGGTAAAATGAGTAGATTATACCTAAATGCAGTAAGCAAAGCCGAGTTCCTTCATTCAGCACTACACAGGAAATTAGAGCCAATGGTGCGAAGGGGAGAAATAAAAGGATGGAAAAGGAAAAGGAAAGGAAGGTTCTCAATAGACAATAATAAAAAATAAAAATAAAAAAACACTTGCAGTGCATTTATTTTCAGATGATATGACTCTATATGTAGAAAATCATAAATGATACTAAAATATATGACTGCAGCCAATTCATTAAGTTTCAAGCAGTGAGATAAAAACATAAAATCCAATTGTAAGTTATATTCTATCAGTAAATAGCTAGAATATCAAGTTGAGGATGTAATTCTATCAATAACATGAAAAATACTTGGAAAAAAGTAGGAAATAAGTGTGTTTTCAAAAGCATAAGGTGTACTTTGTGACAATAAATGAAGAGATACTGTGTTTATAGTTTGGAAAATTTCATGTTTTTAAGATGAAAACTTCTTCCAGGTTAATCTATAGATTCAATATCAACCAAAATTCAACTAAGATATTTTATAGAAATAAACATGAGAATTCTGAAATTCATTTGAACATTCCAGGGGCCCAGAACAAAATTTTAATAACAAAGTTGGAAGACTTACACTACTAGTTTTTAAATAATTTCAACAATGAAGTCAATGACATAAGCATAGAAAATAATTAGAATGGAGCTAAGCATCTAAAAAATCAGCTCTTTCAGTTACAGTCATATAAATGCATATAGTCATATATAGTCACTTGTGATTGAAAAAAGGATAACCTCAATTAATTATATAGGGACAATAGGATAGCTATATGCTAAAAGCCAAGCACAAAGTCTCTGATTCTTGTCACATACATCATGCATAAAAATGCAAATTAATTCAAAATTAGTCATCCAAATGTAAGAACTAATGGTGTATAATTGTGACTGGAAACTTAGGAGAAAATCTTCACACCATTTGTTCATCAGTGTTCTTAAAACACCATGTAATGCTTGAATTTCAGCAAAAGTATTTGTACTCCTAAAAACAACATTACAAAAATAGAAACAGACAAATCTATTTGCAAGTCATATATTTATTAAGAACTTCTGTCTTGAACACAAACACACACACACACGCACACACACACACACACACACACAGGCAACTTTCATTCACTAGTAAAAAGACAAGTGGCTATTTTTGTGTTAAAGACATGGGCTTAAGGAACTATGATTTCTTTGTATTAATCCTTCTGTTTTTTTAACACATAAATACATCTCTTTTCACCTGGATGCTTACCATTTTTCATAATATTCTATTTTTAAAGGAAAATCATCTCAGCTAGGGTCACCTTCATATCTTCCCAGGAGCCTCCCCCATCTGAAGTGTCCAGCTTGTCCCAGAGATACCCCAACATCAATTTCCTTTCCCTCTCCCAGCCCTCTCACCCCCCATCCTCACTCTCCCCACACCTGATCCCCCACTCTGATCACCTCTGGAGGAGTCAAGGGCAGCACAAGAAGACCTACAGAGTCAACTAACCTGGGCCCATATGAGTTCATGAGACTGAACCACCAACCAAACAGCATGCATGGACTTGTCCTAGGCCTCTTACACATCTAAAGCTGATGGGCTGCTTGATCTTCAAGTGGGTCCCCTAACAATTGGAGTAAGAGCTGTCTCTGACTTGGACTCTCTTGCCTCTCTCTGGATCCCGTGTGCCTACGGGGCTGCCTTGTCTTGCCTCAGTGAAAGAGGTGGCACTTAGTCCTGATGTGTCTTGATGTGCCAGGATAGGTTGGTACCCAGTGATAGGAGGTGTGTGTGTGTGGGGGGGGGGGGAGTTATGGGGGAAGTGGGTGGGACGGTGGGACTAGGAGGAGAGGAGGGAGTGGGGTGATCATTGGGATGTAAAATGAACAAATAAATTAATGAAGAAAAATTAACGATTTGCAGTGATTAGAAATTTGTATTGTAACTGCTACACAATCACACACACAGAAATAAGAAACATACGAAAAGGAACTAGTTGATGCAATGGTAAAGATGTTTTTGCAGTACTTTAAAGAAATGCCTAGTTTGAAACTATCCAAAATGAGAGATGAATAGTAAATCACACCTAGGAACATTAAAGTCAAAGAATAGCAAATACAAGGAAAAAAATCTTAAAAACTTACAGAAATGAATCTTATTTTATACAGATAAATAAGAATTAAATTAATATCAGCTTTCTATGTTGATATTGAGTACAGATAAAAACAGTAATGTTTTCTTTTTTTTTTTTTAGTTACAATTTGTTAACTCTGTGTCCCAGCTGTATCCTGATCCCTCATTCCCTCCCCCTCCCCAACTCCCTCCCTGGTCTCCTCCCTGCCCCTTTCCAAGTCCACTAATAGGGAAGGACCTCCTCCCCTTTCATTTGACCCTGTTTTATCAGGTATCTTCAAGGCTGGCTGCAAAGTCCTCCTCTGTGGCCTAACAGACTGCTCCTCCCCTGGGGCGGGGGGGGAGGACAAAGAGCCTGCCCTTGAGATCCTGTTAGAAATAGTCCTTGTTCCCCTTGCTTTGGAAAACTACTTGGTTACTGAGCTACCACGGGCCACATCCCAGCAGAAGTTCTATGTTATATCCATAGATGGTCCTTGGTTGAGTGTCAGTCTCAGAAAAGGTCCTGTGCCCGGATATATTTGGTACTTGTAGAGCTCCTATCCTTTCCATATCATACTAACTCCCCTTCTTTTAATGTTTTCAAAATATTGAAAGACAGCTATTTTAAACCTGGGACTTTAAAAAAAAAATCCTATTTAAAGCTAACATGGCCTCCCAGACTTACCAAACAAAAGTCCACATTAAAAACAGTTTAAGGTCAAATACACTTACAAAAATAAAGAAATCTTGGAATAATTACAAAAGATTCAAAAAACAAATATCAGTGTATAAATTGGTAAAGTTGTCCTAGTAAAACTATGATCAAAGAAGCAAAATAAAGAAGCAAAAATAAAAAAGAGTGTGTGAGAGACAAAGTGTGTAGAGGAGGATGAGTTTTATCTAAAAATAACTTAAGTGTCCTGTTCGAAGATCACCTTGGAGATCAAGGAGGAAGGAATTGAACCCATGTCTGTGTGATTCCAAATGTCATGTTCCTTTCATCAAGCAAGCATTGTAGGAAAAACAAAACAAAACAAAAAACAAACAAACAAACAAACAAACAAAAAAAACTCTGCCCACAATGCACAGGCCCTGTCTACTCCTTTGATTTTGTAATTAAAATTAATTGGAAGTGCAAAAACCTAAACCTTCAGGAGAGCTGATTCCTCTGTTTTTCTTTAATATTCCAAATATTTGTGAAATAGTTTTTTTTTTTTCATGTAAAAGAAATCTTCCTAGGACAAAAATAAACTAAGTCATTGACTTCTACATCCTTTTCTAGAACTCCTTAGAAGAGACAGAAGATGGAGTTGATGAATTAGTGTCCTCTGGGTTTTCTGCAAATACCTACAGTCTGGCAAGTGGCCTGTCAACTGTAAGCATTCTCACAGAAACTTTCTTTTGTTCATTTCCTGTGCATTTTCAAAAGAGATGGTAAGGTATGACCATATGGCCAAAGCTATTGTAGGTTCTTGCTTGCCCCATGCCCTTACACCACCTTCACTCTATTTTGACTCCTGAATCCTTTCTTCTTCCATGATACCCACACAGCTTTTGCAATCTCTTCATTCCCACTTCATAAAGAACTGGGTAAGAGGAGTTTGAAGAGTTCCAACACAAAGAATTAAATAGTGAAGGTGATAGAAAGGCTAATTACTGTGATATGACCATTGACATGTGCAGGAGTCATTTGGCATTTCTACAAACATACTCAATTGTTTCATAAAAACCTGGAGAAATTCAATTTCTTCATTTTCTAATTTGATGCCCAGTCATCTCAATTTTATAAATTATTACAGTTCTGTTGATAAGTTTCTCTCATATCATTCTCTCAACTCTCCACTTGCTCTCTACACTACTGCCAACCATATTCCTATAAGACACCACTACTCTGCTTTCTTTCCTACTGAAAAATAAACAAACAAACAAAAAACTGTCCAGAGCTTTCCACTGTCTGCAGGGGAAATTCTGCTCTTACCTTGAGTTGTCGCTCTCCTGAGAGCAAACTTTAGCAACCCACATGCCACTGTATATACCTCTGTACCTGTGTATTTCTTTGCTTCTCTGATTTCCATGCTCTAATGTCCTTTCTTTTTTGGTCATTGGATGGCTCTCTTAAAGAACTCCCAAGCAGGATCTGATAGGAAGAGGAGCTACCTAAATGTCCCTGATGCTGATTCAGACACCGTGAGTTTTCACCTTTGCCGTTTCCCTCTTCCCAACCATACTTCACAAGTTTCATGGTTTGGGAAATATGGTTGGATGAACAGTTCCACATGTTTTCTGACTTGTACACAGCCAGATACTTTCCTTGGAAGGGATTCGTGAGCTGACATACCTACGGTATTCCATTTTATTCTGAGTACCAGGCAAAAGGTGTGCCCAAAATCGTTTATCAATAATAGGAACTTTGAAGTAAGAATCTCCAGTTTAAGTCACAGCTATGTCTTGATAAAGAAAAAAAAAAAAGGAGGTTGTTAGTAAAACAACAAGCCTCCTAAGACTTGTATTTTGTGACTCCTTAAATTTTCTTGTACTCACAGGGATCCCTCATTAATCTTTGATCTTTGTTGAAATAGCTATACCAGGGGGCAGTGAACTGTGACCCATGGGACTTTTCACTAGAAACCCAGTTTTCCTCTATTACTACATATAACTAACAAATTTGTGAACCAGAGTTTCCTCTTGTGTAATATATTTGAGGATAATTCATAACACTTCAGACTTGAGGTATGGTTCATGGATCAACACTACTGTGAAACCTTGGACCCCAAAAATTCTCAATTTATAGAGTTCTTAGGGTTTCAGTTATTCTCTCATTTAAGTCCTGGATGTAAAGTAAGCACTGCCTTCCCAAAAACTTAATATTCACATAAATCCTCTAAAATTAATAACTCTTTGAAAAAAATACTTCAGGTAAATATTTTATTCTGTTCTTAAGCTGTTCCATTACTTATTACTAATAGGAAGAGTGTACCTGATGAGTAGTATATAGTTTGTCAGATCTTTCTTAGAATCTCAACAAATATCATCATGTATACTTGCCATTCAACATTAATGTTTTATTTCTTCCTGTTTGGCTTGGTTCATTTTCTTTGAGAAAATTGATTTTGTTTGAGAAATTGGACATCCTTCTGCCTCCATCTTCTAAGTTCTGAGATGATGGACATGTACCACCATGCCTGGGTTCTATATAGATTTTAGTGAAATTTGTTTTAGATTGAAAAAATTGTCAAAAGCTCAGCATATCACAAATAGGAATTCATCGGAAAATAAACTATAATATTAATAACAACACTATAAACTGTTATTTAGTATTTTGTCTATTCTGTATGTGTCTAATGGATGCTGTTGCATCTGTGTTTCCCTTTCAAATATTCTTTGATATGCCCATGAGTTCACAGTGGTACCTGAGATGCAAGCACACATTATTTGTGTCCTTAAGACCTAACTGTCTGCAGAACAGTGAAAATGCCAGACTATCCCAGGCTTAATCTTTATTTCAGTATGATCCCCAGGTGATTTATTTATTATATAGTTAAAGTTTTAAAATTATGTTGCAATATTTTAATAGGAAAGACAAATTCAGTTACTTAATTAGCTCTCTTTAAGAAACAGCTTGTAGGAAATTTTAGAATTCTTGGTTTACTCTTAACCTTGACTCCAGTTTAAAAGAGATTATGAATTAAGTCATACATACTGTTCTTTGAAGAAATACATCCTATTTGAAACACAAAAGCTTTTGTAAAGCAATAGCAACAAAATCTAATCGAACTGGTAGACAAACATATAATAAGATAAATAGATAGAAAGATACATAGATTCATTCATATATATCCACACATGATATAAGACAGATAGGTGTTCCATGTATATAGAGTTTTTATGTCTACATCTCTAGCTCTATGAACAAATGGCAACTATATGTTCTTTGTGACACTGTAGTCATTGCTTCTCAGTAGTGAAAGAAAGGTTATGAAACTACTACATCATTCATGAATTTTACTGGTCTTTTGTGTCCATCAGGTTACTAAGATGCAAAGTCTTTGTTTCTAACACTGAATAATAATGCTACATTGATTTAAAAGATGTATCTCATGTTACAAATATTTTGACAAAAATATTTATTCATCCTTATAGATTTTTATGTTTTTCATTAATTGAGCTACTTTACTTATATTTTGGTCATTACTATTCCGTGGAATTTCAAAGCCATGACTCTTGGACTACCTATGTAGCCACACAGCTACTAAGTTGGGGGACTGACAGCCTTGTGAGTATAGTGCATCCTGCCATACCTTTGTTAAGGCTTCAGCTGTAGTTCCCCTAAAACTTGTGGCATATGCAGTGTTAGTGTAGAGAAAGTCACCTTAGGTTTTCTTCTGTTAACTCATAATATGGAGTGAGCTTTTCTTTCTTCTGATCATAATATTCTAGATATTTAAATAGATTGTGCTAGAATCTATTAGCAAAAACTGATAGTGACAGGGCTGAAGAAGAAAGATTATATCAAAAATTGTTAAATGACTCTGTATTCATTAAAAGACATAAAGGATTTCAGGTAACTAAGAGAAGATGTTTTCCTCTCTCAGCAAGCTTCCTTCCTCCCTTACTAATGTAGTTACATGGGGGTGTTGTTCTCAGATTAGAATTTTATGTACCACCAGCAAAAATAAAATAAAATAAAAAGCAAAGTTAGCAACAATTAGAATTGACTAAGGGGGGGGGGGGTCTATTTGTAACAAAAGCCTTAGAATAGCACCGGGCCACTTCTTTCATCTTGTGTATTCCAGACCAGCCTTAACAGCATGATGAGTGTTTACAGTGAAACAGGAGACTATGGCAACGTGAAGGTCACTGGTGAAATTCTTCTCCACATCAGCTACTGCTACAAAACTGGTGGGCTATACATTTTTGTCAAGAGTTGCAGAAACCTGGCCATAGGAGATGAAAAGAAACAGAGGACAGATGCGTAAGGACATAGGATGTTTTTCTACTATTTCTAGCACCCTTCTCTGTCTGCATACACATTTCCTCTTCAGAAGAGGTTAAAGATTCACTTCAATTAAGAACCTTCTCAGAAAGGTACTTGTGACTTCCCTCCTATCCTGTATTTCTAAACATTTTCTGAAGCATGAGAATGATGTTTGTATCCTTGGTTACCAGATTTGAAAGAGGCCATTATGTGATTCAGGACTAACAAGCTTTTAGCTTGCACAGAGGCCCCTCATGGAGTGACATATTGGGATATACCAGGATATCTATGAGTATCATGCTGATTGTTTAAAATAGTTCTCATACAATATATTTTGATCATATTCTTTTCCTTCCCAAACCTCCTAGATTCACCCCTATAAACTTCATATTTTTTGTCTCTCTTAAAAAAACAAACAAATAAAAGTGTGTATGTGCACACACACACACACACATTCACTCACACAAAAGGGATCTGGAGTCCAATTTGTGTTGTTCAACTACTCCTGAGCATGAGGCCTGCCTTCGAGTATTCTTGATTATACCTGGTGTCACTCCATTGAAGAAAGCCATTGTCTCTCTCCCAGCAGCTGTCAATTACAAATATCTCCTTACCTAATGCTGGGAGTTTTTGTTGACTTCCTATTCTCTAGATTTTAAATGGCTAAATGACAAATAGAATTACTTTGGCCAACATGGAAAGGAACCACCAAAACCCTAGCAAATGTGTTTCAGAACCCTGATATAATATGTTTCAGTTTTGTGCATGTCTACTCTAATGGGCCTGTCCCAAGAGGCTTCTAAAATGGTTAGCTAGCATAAGCCAAAGTATTGGATTAAACTATATTGTTGTCAGTTTCCATTTCTTCCTTTTAATTTCTGTCTTTCATTCATTTACTCCAGTTGGTCCTATGTTCTGACATCAGAGTATAGGGCTAGTAATGGCGAGACATATATCCCAGAAAAGGTTGTAAGATTATTGATTTTAGCAGATTCCACTTCTGCAGTATGGTAGCTCCTCATGTATGTTTCATGGATTAGGTTTTGTTACTATCCCACTTTCTATACTTGAAGAAACAAACATAGAAAAGTTAAAAATCCAAGGCTATCAAAAGCAGTAATGCATGGGTGGATCCAAGCTAATTTTCTTGATGCCAAAACCCGTTTTTTTTTTTACCAATATACAACAATGCCTTTTTTCTCGTAGAAAGCCCAGAGTTATACTTATGATATCCTATTAGACACAATAAAATCTCATTTCCTTCTCTTTTATCTGCTTACTTATTCTCTTTTCTCACTAAAGTTCTGGAATATTTCTAACAAAATATGTTTCAAATAATGATTTTTATCCTTTGTTATTTCTAGTTATGTCAAGTCATACCTTCTTCCAGACAAGTCCCGAAACAATAAGCGCAAGACCAAAATCAGAACAGGTACCAATCCAGAATTCAACGAAACATTAAAGGTAAATAAATATTATCATAGAGACTCATGTCATATTAATTAGAACCTCATTGATTTAGAATTAACTCTAGGCTTAAGGTTAGGGTAGGAGTATTATTAAGAGTTCAAAGCTAACCATGAGGGCCTCTGAAAGACTGTACCCAGCAGGCTATCGAAGGAGATGATGAGACTCATAGCCAAACTTTGGGCAGAGTGAAGGCAATCTTATGAAAGAAGGAGATGAAAGACCTGGAGGGGGCAGGAGATCCACAAGGAGAGCAACAGAACTAAAAAAAAAAAAAAAAAAAAAAATCTGGGCCCAAGAGTATTTTCTGAGACTGATATCTAAACCAAGGACCATGCATGCAGATAACCTAGAATCCCTGCACAGATGTAGCCCATGGCAGCTCAGTATCCTGTGGGTTCCCTGGTAAGTGGAACAAGGACTGTCTCAGTCAGTAATTCAGTGGCTAGCTCTTTGATCCTCTCGCCCTAGTAAGAGAGCGCATCCTTACTAGGCCACAGAGGAAAACAATGCAGCCAACCCTGATGAGACATGATAGGCTGAGGTCAGATGGGAGGGGAGAAGGACCTCCCCTATCAGTGGACTGGGGGAGGGGCATGTGAGGAGAAGAGGAAGGGAAGGCTGGATTGGAAGGGGACTCGGGAAGGGGCTACAGCTGGGATACAAAGTGAATAAATTTTAATTAATAAAAAATTAATTAATTAATAAAAAAGAGTTCAAGGCTATCCTAAGATAGCATAGTGAGATGCAAGCAAGCCTGGCCTACGTACAGAATGATACCAGCCCTGTATCAAAAATACAAACAACCCAAAAAGAAAACATAACTAAATGGAATATATTTATATTTTTAAAAAAGTATGTGCTTTTAGAAAGCTAGGACTTGTATATCATTAGCTTCTTTGAAGTATTTTTGGACTAGAAAAGCAAAGTAACCTAGTCTTATTCTGTTTACTCTCTGCTGTTGTTGGGGTTATGCCTTAAGTTGAAAAGATCCAGTAAAATGACAAAGTGCATCTAAGCTGGTTTGTCTTGCCACAAAAGAAATTACATATTTGAGAAATCTGCTTTCTTAGAATTGTCTTAAATGGGCTTCATCACTAATTCAGCAAATTACTTTGCACATATTTAGTGCTTTGTTAACAAGGGCTATGTGCTATTTCTTATTAAGACCTCCAAGTGTGGCTAAATATAGGTGTGTGGTTAATGAACATTAGCAATGTAAGGTCAAATTTGAGAAATCTCAGAAAATGCCTAGGTAAAATGTAAACCAGACCTTAGGTTCTAAATTCTAAAGAAATTTCTACTTCTTATGGGTAGCCATAAACAATCCCTTCTCTCACTCTGGATCCATCTGTCCTGGTAGAAAGGACAAAGAAAGGATAAAATGTATTGGCAATCATAAGAAAATGTATGGACTTGTGCCCAGAGTAATGAATTCAGAGTCTATCACAGTGAGTGCTCATAAGAGAAGAAAGCCAAGAGTCTACATGCACCACTAGAGGTATGTGTAGAAGCGGGGGCCAATATTAAGAGAGATCATATGGAAACTGACAGACACAGGCTGAGCATAGATCCAGTGGTCATAATAGGATTGCAGAAATGAGCCCAAGCAGAAGAGATCAACACAATGACAGATAAATTCAGGGAGCAGAGTGTCATCTCTAATTTGATAATCAGAGCTCGGCCAGGAATACACACAAATCAAAGTTTTGAAATCGGTCAAGCTAAAGTGAGACCCAGAGGGATGTACAGAACAACAGAAGATTAGAAGATGTATACTCATGTGTCCCTGGTTAAAATTGTTCTGGAAAAGATAAAGAAAGCCCCCAATATCTACCATCTACTCAATCTGTGTGTAGTTTTTAACATCTACACTTATACTGGGCTTTATGAAGCTTAGACTACGAATTTCTCATGTCAGTACTTTTCTATATTTAAGGATTTTTATTGGGAATGAATAAGTTGGGTGATCATTATATTAAGCCTAGAGCTACAAAGTAGACATGCAAAAGAACAAAACCAAAACAAACAAACAACAAAACAAGTAAATACAGAAAAAGCCAGGTAAAGTTAGAAAGAGGTTTCTTCATCACCTAACACTTTCATATTGTCCCTGAAGTTTTTTGACTCCTACAATTATATATATGCATATATATAATTTCTTAACTAGGAATGACCTAAAATGTGTTTTTGCATTATAACTTCACTTATAACAGAAATAAAAAGTTTTTTTCATATTGCTGATGCCTATCAAAATTATTGAAGTCAATTTCAGCAGCCAGATGTACAATTAGAAAGAATTCTCCCTGCAGTGTGTGATACTGTACATCTCATTTATAGTATACCATCAGCCACACCCAGCTGGAAACAAGAACCCTGCAGCTCTCAGTCTGGCACTATGATCGATTTGGACGCAACAGTTTCCTTGGAGAGGTGGAGATTGCTTTTGACTCATGGAACTTTGAAAATCCATGTGATGAGTGGTTTGTGCTTCAGCCCAAGGTAGGAAATGCTTCTAGCTACACAATTAGACAAGTTTAAGCCAAACTGATATCCCAGGCCTGAAGAAGCAGAGAATTCTCAATTTCAAGTAATAATCTGAAAAGATTATTACAATCTTTTGATAGATATTATAAGACCATTATTTTAAAAGTTCTTCAATTAGATACATATTGTATAACATGAGAAGCCATGTAATCATATATAAGTGACTTTTATTACTGAAATCCATTTATCAGTTGAAGATTTCTGAGTATTACTAAAAAGAGCACACTATAAAATCTCATTAGAACAAGAAAGTATTTTCATGCCATTAAAACAATTAAAAAACTCAAGTAACAAAACATGCTGGAGAGGATGTGGAGAAAGAGGAACCCTCCTCCGTTGCTGGTGGGAATGTAAACTTTTACAACCACTTTGGAAATCAATCTGGCACTTTCTCAGGCAATTACTGAAATCTGTACAACTAAAGAAGATAAACAACAAAGAGGACCCTGAGTAAGATGATCAACCCTCACTTAGAAAGACAAATGGGATGGACAATGGATGTAGGAGAAAACAAGTAACAGGATAGAAGCCTACCACTGAGGGCCTCTGAAAGTCTCTTTCCTAGCAGTGTATCAAAGCAGATACTGAGACTCATAATGAAACCTTTTGCAGAGTGCAAAAGTTCATATGAAAGAAGGATGAGTTAGTATGCCCTGTAGAGAACAGGAGTTCCACAAGGACCAAATATATCTGGGCAAAGGGGTCTTTTGTGAGACTATCTCCAACCAAGGACCATGCATGGATACAACCTAGAACCGTGCACAGATATAGCCCATAGTAGCTGAGTATCCAAGTGGGTATCCTAGTAAGGGGAACAGGGACTATTTCTGACAAGAACTCAATGGCTCCCCCACACACACACCCAAGGGAGGAACAGCCCTGCCAGGCAACAGAGGAGGACTTTGCAGGCAGGCCTGAAGATACCTGATAAACTAGGGTCAGATGAAAGGGGAGGAGGTCCCCCCCTATCAGTGGACTTGGAAAGGGGTAGGGAGAAGAGGAGAAAGGTATGGTGGGATTGAAAGGGAATGAAGGAGAAGGATACAGCTGGGATACAAAGTTAATAAACCATAACTAATATTAAAAAATAAAAATTTAATAAAAATACTAAAATAAAAAGAAATAGTGTTTCCTCAAGATATACCTATACCACTCCTAAGCATATATCCAAAGTATGCTCAAGTACACAACAAGGACATTTGCTCAACCATGTTTGTAGCATCTTTATTTGTAATAGCCAGAAGCTGGAACAACCCAGATCAACTGAGAAATGGATACAGAAATCCTGGTATATCTACACAATAGAATATTACTCAGCAATTAAAAACAAGGAAATTATGAAAATTGCTGGCAAATGGTGGGAACTAGAAAAGATCGTCCTGAGTGAGGTATCCCAGAAGCAGAAAGACACACATGGCAGATAATCACTTATAAGTGGATATTAGACATATAATGTAGACTAACCATACTAAAATCTGTACATCTAAAGAAGCTTAGCAAGAAGGACCCAGGGTAAGATGATCAATCCTCATTCAGAAAGGCGAACAGGGTGGAAATCGAAAGAGGAAGAAAACAGGAAACAGGACAGGAGCCTACCACAGAGGGGCTCTGAAAGACTCTACCTAGGAGTGTATCAAAGCAGATGCTGAGATCCATAACCAAACTTTGGGCAGAGTGCAGGGAATCTTATTAAAGAAGGGGGAGGTAGAAAGACTTGGAGGGGACAGGAGCTCCACAAGGAGAGCAACATAACCAAAAAATCTGGGAACAGGGGTCTTTTCTGAGAGTGATATGCCAATCAAGGACCTTGCATGGAGATAACTTAGAACCCCTGCTTAGATGTAGCCCATGTCAGCTCAGTCTTCAAGTGGATACACTAGTAAGGGGAACAGGGACTGTCTCTGACATGAGCTCAGTGGCTGGCTCTTTGATCACATCCACCTGAGGGGCAAGCGTCTTTACCAGGCCACAGAGGAAGACAATGCAGCCATTCCTGATGAGACCGGATAGGCTAGTGTCAGAGGGAAGGGGAGGTGAACCTCCCTTATCAGTGGATTTGTAGAGGGCCATGGGAGGAGACAAGGGAGGGAGGGTAGCTTTGGGAGGGAATGAGGGAGGTTGCTACAGCTGGGATACAAAATGAATAAACTGTAATAAATATAAAAAAGAAAAATTGGAATAAAAAACAACAATTCCACAGAACATGACCAATCTCAAAACATTATCTCTCTTTCTCATGCTTTATAATTTATAGCATAAGCAGAGATAACCTCCTTTGCTCACATGAAAAAGTGATAACTATCCAAAACTTTTTTTTTTTTTTTTACTTAGGAGAATTATAAAATGCTTGTATAGTCTAGCATGTTCAACCTTAGAAGAACTATACATTGGATTCATTATAAGTAACTAAATTTTCTTCATATATTTAGTCAGTTTGTAAGTAAGAAGGAAAATAGAAAGTTATATTCATGATACTAGAGATTATTCTTTATATGTAGTGACAAAAAAACAAACATTTTGTTAAGATAGTGAACTGAAATAAGCATTGGTTCTCTCATGGTTTCAAAATGCCTATGAGATTTTGGGTATTTCTTAAACTTTTGTATTCTAATTTGTAACATAATCATAAATATGGTAGCTTTGTTACATGTCTGAGACCTGGAATATTTGAAGTCCTTATTCTTCTTAGAAAACTGACATTAGGGTCGAATATGCATTTTCTGTAAGGCTGTCAGTATTCTTTTAGGAACCTCATAAACTGTCAGTAAAAGCTTGGGAGTATTTGCATTGATTGGTACCTTGATCCACATTAGCAAATCTTAACAAGACCTTGGATTCTCTTGACTTTCTACTCTTTCTTTGGCTCCAGTTTCAGAGTTCACACATTGTTGATCTCTTTTCCTAGTTCCACCTATGCTGAAACTGTACAATATTAGGTGTAAGTGGGCGATGGCTCCCTACTTTGTATATACACTCTAGAAAAATATAGAATTTTTTTTTCTTTTCCAATAATCAAAACAATGCCTTTAGCCTACCTAGATTTTCTAAATCTAATTATATTATCTTGCCCCTCATGAGCTAGTAACTCACCAGTAAGGTAAAATTCATTGGTTGGAATAATTTGATGAAATAAAAACATTTACAGCATAGTCATAATAAGATTGCCACAAAGGAAATCAGACTCAATTTATAGTACTAATGGAAAAGTAAACAATGTTAGAGAAAACCCTATATCACCATCAGTGGCAGCAGTCAGTACTGGTACTTAATAGTCCCAAGCTCATGAGGTAAGTTTCCCCCATTTTATAAATGAATTCAACTTGTTGGTTGAGTTAAACTACTGGCCTTAAAGTTGGTACAAATAACTCATAAAATTTTAGGAGATAGATATATTTTGCCTGTATGAAACAAAGTTTTAAAATTATTTTTAATTAATTAATATATTTATTATTTTTTATTACAATTTATTGCTTTGTATCCTGCCTATAGCCCCTCCTTATCTCCTCCAAGTTCCACCCACACTTCCTCTTCTCCCCCTATGCCCCACCCCTAGTCCACTGATACCAGAGGACTTCTTCCCCCTCTATCTGACCTTAGCTTATCAGGTCTCATTGGGGATGGCTGTGTCATCTTCCTTTGTGGCCTGGCAAGGCTGTACTCCACAGGGAGAGGTGATCAAATGGTTAGCCACTGAGTTCATCTCAAAGACAGCCCCTGTATCCCCTGTATCCCTTACTAGGGCACCCACTTGAAAACTGAGCAGTCTATGGGCTTCATCTGAACAGGGGATCTAGGTCCTCTCCATGCATGGTCCTTGGTTGGAGTATCCATCTGTGCATGACCCCATGAGCCCAGGTTTTTTTTTTCTCTCTCTTTTGTACTCCTTGTGGAGCTCCTGTCCCCTTCGTGTCTTTCTATCTATCTCTTCTTCCATAAGGTTCCCTGTATTCTGCCCAAAGTTAGGTTATGGTTTTTAGCGTCTCCTTAAATACCCTCATGGATAGAGTCTTTCAGAGGTCCCCTGTGGAAGGCTCCTGTCCTGTTCCCTGTCTTCTCCTACTTCCAATTTCTATCCTGTTTGCCCTTCTGAATGAGATTTCAGCCTCTTAACTAGGGTTGTCCTTTTTGTTTAGCTTCTTTAGGACTATAGATTTTAGTATGTTTATTCTATATCATGTGTCTAATATCTACTTATAAGTGAGTATATACCATATGTGTCTTTCTGCATCTGGGTTACCTCACTCAGGATGATCTTTTCTAGTTCAATCCATTTGCCTGCAAATTTCATGATTTCCTTATTTTTAATTGCTGAGTAGTATTCCATTGTGTAAATGTACCATGATTTATGTATCCGTTCTTCAGTTGAGGGAAATATACGTTGTTTCCAGATTCTGGCTATTATGAATAAAGCTGCTATGAACATAGTTGAACAAATGTCCATGGTGTAAGGTTGAGCATCTTTTAGATATATGCCCAGGAGTGGTATAGCTGGATCCTGAGTTAACACTATTCCTAATTTTCTGAGAAAGTGCCAGATTGATTTCCATAGGAGTTGTACAAGGTTACATTCCCATCAGCAATAGAGAAGGATTTACCTTTCTCCACAACGTCTCCAGCATTTGTTCTCCCATGAATTTTGATCTTAGCCATTCTGCTGGGTGTGAGGTAGAATCTCAGCTCAGGGTCATTTTGATTTGCATTTCCCGGAAGACTAAGGAAGTTGAACATTTCTTTAAGTGTTTCTCTGCCATTCGATATTCCTCTGCTTAGAATTTTCCGCCTGGATCTGTACCCCACTTTTTAGTTGGATTACTTTCTTTGTTGACGTTTAACTTCTTGAGTTTTTTGTATATTCTGGATATTAGCCCTCTTTCAGATGCAGGGTTGTTGAAGATTTTTCCCAGTGTGTAGTCTGTCCTTTTCTTCTGCTGACAGTGTCCTTTGATTTAGAGAAG